GACCTGAACCCCATAGAGCAGGTCTGGGACCAGCTGAAGCAGAGACTGGATGACCGTAGTCCACCCCCACGTGACCTGGCAGAACTGCGTGTAGCACTTGTGGAAGAGTGGAACGCATTGCCTCAGAACATCATGAGGCTGGTGAGGAGCATGAGACGTCGTTGTCAAGCTGTCATTGCGGCAAATGGTAGAAACACCCACTGCTGACATTGTCAGTTTTTGTTGTTTGGGGCTAACCTTGTTATCGTTTAAATTTTGGGGGTAAGAAATATGAAACTAATGAAAATGGTGTTTCTTCTCATTCATTATTAGTAACATCAAAGGGAACTTCATTAAAATTCAGACCAAATAGGAAAAGCACTCATGTAAATAACAATATCCCTAACTTATTGTGAGTAGTGTATATATACATATACATACACACACACCTGCTCAATCAGTTATGAACTCTTAGTAGCTTTTCCCCCTTTTACATTTTAATAGCCAATACTTACAGTGTTCTGTATGTTTGGTACTGTTAGAATTACATGCAGCTACATGTGGTTCAGATATATCACCTCTGCGTTATCAGTCTTTTCCCAGTCAGAGAGTGTTTCATCATCATGGACTGGTTTGAGAGAGATAGTGTTTCTGTTATCTCTGTAGTTCAGGCTCAACCCTGCTGCATGTCTTCCTGCTGACTGAGCCTGACAGAAGCACATCCTGAAAAAGCACCCCAAGAACTTGCTGAATGTTGCTGCTGTGCTGGAAATGCCATGCCCATAGTCTTCAACCTTGGCCTGAAATCTGGAGCAGCAAGAAAGCAGCGGATGCATTTTAACAAGTCACACTGCAGTCAGCCCCCAGCTCTGGTTCTGAACAGCTTCCATGAAACAAGCCTGAACTAATTCACATCCTGATGTCACACTGCCTGCTTTACCTTTACAAGAACGACCAGACAGCAGCTGATCCAGGTAACAGGAACATTTGGAACAAACACCAGACGAACAGAAGACAACATCTGAAATGAGTTCAGCTTCATTCTTTCTAAAGTTCATCACTGGGTTTGTACAGAACTTGAACTGTTTCACTCCAGCAGGCGAGTCATTCACTAAGCATGCAGCGTTCTTTAACCCGCTGAGTGATGCAACAAGAAGCAAACTGAAATGTTGTTCTTTACTGTTGTTTAACTGTGATTTGTTACTTCCCCACTTTAAATGCTCTATTCTGGTTCTCTGCTGGTACTAATGTGATGCTTTATGTGCACATCTGAGAGCACCAGAGTCTGCAGTAGCATCTTACAGGAAATATTCCTTTTGATCAGTTCTGAAAATTAAGCTAAACATCATTTTATGATTTAATTTATAATTTTATAGATTGTACTCACCGTCGCTCTGAGCTCGTAGGACGTTAACACTTCCTGCCTGATGCAGTCGTGGGCTTGTGTCGTACAAAGACCTGCCCGTGTGCTCCCTGTGCTTTAATGTGGTCAGGGCTGTTTGCATGGACTCTGCTTGGGTGGAGCTACAAAGCAGAATCAAAACCAATAAAACTAAATGTGCAGGAATAGAAACTCAGGGCAATGCAACCCTGCAGATGCAGAATGCACAACAGCGGCTTTACAACTGCTTTTTTTATTTATCGCAATTTCGTGTAAGCTCCACTTTGTAGATCAGGCTGATGTTGAGTGAGACCATTTAGGTGAAATCACTGCTTGTCTGTAGACTGACTCATTCACTAGAGGGTCACTAGTTTAGTCCTTTAACCTCCTCACCCACCAGTGCATTTATGCCCCCATTTACCTTCAGGAACTCCTCTCCCCCAGGCCTCCTCACATACCCTCTGTTCTACAAACTCAAACCCTCTCCAAGTCCCCAGAACCAAGCTCCACACCGGGCCTTTTCCTCTGCTGCCCCGAGGCTGTGGAACGCCCTCCCTGACCACCCGAGGGCCCCACAGTTACCAGAGGATTTTAAAAGACATCTTAAAACCTATCGTTTTCAAAAAGCATTTTGCTGAACTCCTTTATTAGGTTCTCCTTTCTTTCTTTTTTTTTAAAATAAAAAAAACAAAACAACTATTTTATCTTGACTGTTTTTAATGAACTGTTTTAATAATCTTAACTACTTTTGTCTTACCCTGCAGCACTTTGACATTATGAAAACCTAAAGTGCAACACAAACAAAATGTATTGTTATTATTATTAATAATGTAAAACAAACACGAGTAAATCCAGCCGCAGGTTGGACTGTGAAGAGAGACAAGTGAAGAGATTGATGACTAGCAGCCTGTCTGAAAGGTGACGCATGGATCTGATTACAGCTGAACCTTCATCCGTCAGGACATGGCGTGTGCTGTTGGACTCTGCTCAGGTGGAGTTTTGAAGCAGAATCAAAACC